ATGAGACGCGAGTGCAGCAGTCATATTTGTCCGTGTAAAAATGTGCTGAATATGCGTTCTGTGTGAATGGCTTGGTTTCGGTTTTAATCTAATCAAGATCTTCTACGCATTGAGCTACTATATTTCTCTAATATTTTGAACGAATAACACAGCAGCGGCGCGTCTCGTGGGCTAGACTAACAAAACATTAAAATGCAACATCACTTACATCATTATCACCGCATCTCGCGCTCCACTGATGACGCTCCCTGATGCACTCCTATTTTAAATTCAACTAATATTCATTTTTTTAATTCACGCTTCTGTCCTCCGTCACGTCATCACTAAACACCAGTAACCCAGAGTCACTGGAAGCCATGCTCGCTCATGCCATCACACTCCTCCACCATGTTTCACAGATCATGTTGTATGCTTTGGATCATGAGCGGTTCCAAGTCTTCTCCATACTTTTTTCTTCCCGTCATTCTGGTACAGGTTGATCTTAATTTCAGCCGTCCAAACAATTTTTTTTCCAGAAGTGGTCTGGCTTTTTTAGATGTTTTTGGCAAAGACTGTTGTCCTCCATGGACATCCAGGCCTTTTTATTGTTGCTGAGCTCACCAGTGCGTTCTTTTTTCTCAGAATGTACCAAACTGTTGATTTGGCCACTCCTGATGCTCCTGCTATCTCTCTAATGGATTTATTTTGTTTATTTTGTTTATTTTGAAGCCTAACAATTGTCTGTTTCACTTGTATGGAGAGCTTCTTTGACCGCATGATGTGGATTCACAGCAGCAGCTTCCAAATGCAAATGGCACACTTAGAATCAACTCCAGACCTTTTACCTGCTTAATTGATGTAGAAATAACAAAGGAATAGCCCACCGCTGTCCATGAAACAGCCCTTGAAAAGGGGGACCATTATGAACAAATCATCAAGCATGCTATACAAGAATTCAAGACAGAGACTTATTAAGCGTTTAAGACCGCGAAACCCTCCTCCCATCCAGCTGGAGATAATTTCTAGCCAAAGTGAGCAGGTTATTATCAAAAAATTTCCATTTACACAATTTCTGTTTACATATGTTGATTTTGGCCAGCCATGAACAGCAACAGCTTTGCAGCGCAACTGAAGACATGTGTTAAGAGCAGAGACAAATCACCCTGAGATTTTATCTGGCCTTGGAATGTAAACACGCCACAAAACGCTCAAACACATCTCTGAGACATTTTCAAACACAGCAATTCTTCCTGATAGAAAGTATGGGGAATTTAAAGTGAGTTATAGCTTGCTTATGACCAAGAAAATCATTATGGCCATTCCTCAGGGAAAAGACTAATCCAAGAATTCATCATGGTTTGACTGTGATGTATTGTGTAGTGTTTAGAGGCACGGAAGGGATCGCAAGCACACAGAAAAGGTCACTGTACTTTTAAGGGCTTTGTACGTATACATCTGCAGTAAATGGGCTACTTTAGTGCTATTGGTGACAAGAAACATTCAATCACGGTAAAGCCACTTGATTTCACACTGGCACCCATGCTGATGTATACTGCTGACTCCTAGTGGAGGTTCATATCATTACACTTCACTTATAGCAAAATTCTGTCATTATTTACTCACCCTCATGTTGTTCCAAACCTGTATGACTTCAGTTCTTCTGTGGAACACAAAAGAAAATATTCTGAAGAATGTTCATAACCAAACACTTTTGTTTCCATACAATGGAAGTCAATGGGAAACGGAATGGTTTGGTTACCAACATTTTCAAAATATCTTATTTTGTGGTTTTCAGAAGAAATAAAGTCACACAGGTTTCAAACATGACGTGAGTAAATAACGAACACAAGTACAAGTAACACAAGTACAACACAAGTAAAGCTCAATCGACAGCTTTTGTAGGATATGTTGTAGGTTTATTATTATAATAAAGTTTTTTGTTTTTTTTTTAAAGATGGTGAGGCACTTTCAATGGCTGTAAATGGGGACAATTTTTTGAGGATTTAAAAGCAGAAATGTGAAGCTTATAATTTTATAAAAAGCACTTACATTAATTCTTCTGTTTATACCTATGTGTTATTTAAGTTGTTTAAATCATTTTTACATTCATTTTAGCATGGTAAAATTGGATATAAAAAACAGCTCAACAGCTTTTTTTACGCTGAAATCAGCATATTTTATGTCTTGTGGTTATACTATTGAATCAGTGAGCATGTTAAAGTTTATGAATTGGACCCCTTTCACTTACAAGTGCTTCACTGTCGCCTACAGTAGATCTTTGCATTATTTAAAGAACAGGAGAGACAAGTAGGAACTAATTATCAACATTATGCCACAAATTCCATCAACTGAACTTGTACCAAACCCACACTAGTCTGCATTGTGACAATGAGAAGACAGTACCTGTCAAAGGAATGGAACTGCATGGGTAACATGGCTTGGGCTTCCCTCTTCATGGCCTGATGGTCAGGGTATGGCAGGGTGTCTAGCCCGCTCTCTGTGGTCTCCACAGGAGCTGCTACCAGGCTCTTCAGGATTTCCTTGACATTGATGCCTTTGTTGGACTGGCTAATGCTGGAGATGGACGAGGCGGGTTTGAGGTGATCCACAGTCGAAGGCTCAGTCAAGCTCTCCTGTGACCTGGCCTCTGATGACAGTGTGCAGAACAGCCCACTCATGCCGTTCGGACCACCCATGGTATGGTCCAGGTCAGCCCCGTTCATCACACTGGACACCTGGTCGTCACCCAGTCCTGAGTCTGAGTGAGGGAGGGATGATTCCTGACGGGACTCCTCCAGCACACTAACAGCATCCCTGCGACTGTCAGAGAGGGCTGATGGGTGCTCTGAGGGCCATATATCAGAGTGTAGAAAATGAATAGAATATAACAGAAATCAGAGATGATCAGAAAATGATCACTAGAATTACTAGAAGTTTTTGAAATCATTATTTTATCAAAGTTATGACATTACACTCACTCACAACATGTCAGATGACAACTTAATACTTCATAAAGATCTCAATCAACCAATCAAATTTGAATGATTTCTGAAGGATCATGTGACACTGAACACTGGAGTAATGATGCTGAAAATTTATCTTTGATCACAGAAAACAGTTATTTTAAATAGTAAAAATATTTCACAATATTACTGCTTTTGCTGTATTTTGGATCAAATAAATGCAGGCTTGGTAAGCAGAAGATAATTCTTTTAAAAAAACATTTAAAACCTTGACTGGTAGTGTAAGAAAATTTTAAGACAGGTATACATTTCTGATCCAAATATACCAAATTGTCTGAGCACAATGACAAAGTCCTTCAAAAATACTTGCAGTCAGACACTTTAACACGCATCCACTTTCATCCAATATAATAAACTCAAGCCCTTGCAGACAAGACCACTCTGTCTCCAATCTCTTGCTTGTCTTTATCCAGATGTTGGGCATTTCTCAGTAATTTTAATCAACAGCCTTTAGCAAGGTCAGCGGGGCCCGATTCAGCTATAAAGTACATCTGAATGCTGATTTGGGTGCAGACAATGGCCTGCTACATGCTGTTTGGAAAAATTCCCATCCATAGCCTTTCTTCCCTGAAATTTATGAGGGTGACGCAGCGTAGTGCCTCAGCCTCTATGATCCCATTCTCCTCTGGTGGATTGCTTTCCTAATGGGCACTGACAGATGGGGCTGGAAATAGCAGCGCTGCCCCTGCCTCTGCATGCTCGTTTTTCATGGATCTTCTTTCTTTATACTCGTTCTTCTCTTTCTCACTCTCTATTCTTTTCACTATACTTTCCCAACAAAAACCAGTCGGAAATAAACACATCTTACATTTCAATTAGTTCTTTGATGCATCCTTCAAACTACTGGACATTCGCCCAATTTTGTGACCGTTTTACAGACAAAGCCAGCAGTGATTTCCTTTAAGAATTCTGTGAGGGATGCATGTTTAATTTCATGCGGGATAATTAGTGGAGCTTATGAATAATAGATGTGGGAGGTGGTGAAGAGAAATGTGTTTGACACCAGCTTGAGACGGACCCTGTGGAGACCTACATTTTTTCCGATATAATTTGTATCTAGTATGAGACAGAAAAACTACCTGGCTAATGGTATTAGAAGACATTTGTAATGCAAATAAGCAATGCAAATTGTATTGTAAATATATGTCAGTAAGTGGCATTAAGCTACGCCAACAAATATAACATTAGCCACTACAACACCTGTGCTGGTGGGGGAATTTATCTCATGCCGAATGCCTCTTCCTGACTGGCTGATAGACCTGACCGTCTCCCGCTGGGGTTCCAGGATGTCCCGGTACTTCGACACCATCAGCACCGAGATAAAATAGACAACAGCGAGAGCCAGGAACTGGGCCTGCTTACTGTCATCCTGTGGAGCACAACACAAAAACATGAAGGAGGGTACGAAGAAGAGTCAACATTAGACTAAAACATGTCACGCAAAGCAGAAATGCTACTCTGAACTGATTTTGTTTTGTTAGTGCACCGTTTCAACAAAGAATTACAGAGTGACATTTCAAAAATAGCAATAAATGAAAAAAATAATTATGAATGAATGAATATTCAATATTTAATAAAAAAATTTAAAAATCTAATATTAATCTAGAAAAATAATATGAAAATAGTATAACTTAAAATAAAGTAAAGTAAAATAAAATAAAAAAGTATTATATCTAGTGCTGGGCAACAATTAATCGTGATTAATCGTATCCAAAATAAAAGTTTTGTGTACATAATATATGTGTGTGTACTGTGTATATTTATTATGTATATATAAATACACACACATGCATGTATATATTTAAGAAAAATATGTTATGTTGACATATTAAATATATTTATATGAATATAAATGTATAAACTTTTATTTTGGATGTGATTAATCACAATTAATCATTGCCCAGCACTAATTATATATAAATATATTACTTATATGAGTACTACATAATATAAGTTCTAAAGAAAAACGAAGCATTTTTCACTTCCAAAAACGGTATACTACCGTAAAATTTATGTCCAATACATGTAATGTCCAATACAGTTTTTCACCGTATATAGTGTATAGGGGAATTTACCGTTAACCATTTAACAGGTTTTTACTGTAGCATTTTTACAGTCTTTTACCGTTAAATCCACGGTCATTTTTTACAGTGTATGTATATATTCTGCCTTTGTGACATTAACTCACAACATCGCGAAAGACAGCAGCTCGCAGACGGTTGATGTCCACGTCTTGCAGAAGTCGGTCCGGGTCCTTAATTGGAGAAACATTACTTGGAAAATTTTCTATGGTGGTCTAAGGCAAGAAAAGCAGACATTTTAAACAGACACTTAACACTTTAATTTAATTTAACAGTTGTCACACTGCAGATCTCGTTTACACATTCACACCATACCCACAGCACCAAATCACACATAACGTGACAATGTTAAAACAAATGTGGCAAGACACCACATACTGTACTTTCACTCTTTAACAAATACAGCTTGAACACAGAGTAGACTACATGTTAAATGTCATAATACATGTATAAAAAAAAGTAAAGTAAAAGTAAAAAAACAATCTTAAAACAATTTAATTGTGTCACAAATGACATAAATTTCAAGTATTATTTATATTACATAAATTATAGATATCACTTTACTTTTGGACAAAACGCCTGCAACAAGAAACCCCTAATTGCATAGTGAGATTACAGAAATTGTGTTTAGTGCTTGGATGCAGTGTAGCAGAGTGTGCAGTAGAGTGGGTACCTTGCTGGCCATGGAAACACTTTGCAGGCCCTCCTGAGACTTACTGGAAGACAAGGTGGACTTCAGACTTCTGTCCCTCTGACGCTGACGACACTCTAAACAGTTCCTCACAGCCACACAACATACTGAGACAGAGAGAAAGAAAGAACACCAAATATAATAGTAAAAGGGTGGACAAAGAAGAATGGAGGAGGAAAATCATAAATTTACATAAAATAATTGTAAATAAACTACAAAACTGAATCATTTGATTCTGGGTGCTGATTGATCAATATAGTGTCCCAATATATGGGCTCCCTGAATTATAGTGACAACCCTGCTTGTATCTCATTGCTTAAATGCGTAATATAATATAATATAATATAATATAATATAATATAATATAGTATAGTATAGTATAATATAATAATATGGATAATTTTTAAACTTATGTAGAATTTTTTTTTTGCATAATATAATGATATAATATACTTTCTAAAAGAAAATCAAGTGAAAAAAAACATAATACTTTCTTTTTAATATACAAGAGTATAGAATACAAGATTAAAATATTTAAAATGACTGAAAAAGAAAGTCAGAAAGGTGGTCGGAAAAGTCTTAAGACATTCAGCATAAAGAAAATTTGTTTTCTTCTTTAAAATGTGTCTTGACACGCGCATACGCATATACACACACCTAGTCTGAGGCACTGTCGCATCAGTCCACCTGAGGACATGTTTTTCTCAGCTTCAATCTCGCTGAAGTTGAGTGAACTTGCAAAGACCAGCACATCGACCATGGCCATCAGCCGGGTCAGAAAGATCACGGCCGTCTCAGACGACATGCCCTGCGTCGCCTCAATGCCTTCCATTTCAGTCTGACACAGACACACACAATAATCAAGAACACAAAGTGTACTGTCTGATGTCACAGCAAGTCTGTTAACACATTTTGTTATAACACTGATCAGTCATTATCTTCAGGCTGAGAATGAGGTGTATTGGGTAAAATGTGCCAAACAGGATGAGACGGGTCATGCAACGTTTTGGCAGGTGTTTTCTAGGATGCAGGATTGCCCGTGGCAGACCATTTTTATTTTGAGATGTGGTGCACTGAAACGTAACATTAGAGAGTTTTAATCTGAGAAAAATGAATTCAAACCTCCCCAACCAAGCTACACTACCACTCAAAAGTTTAGGGTCGGTAAGATTTCTGTGTTTTTGAAAGATGTCTTTTATGTTCCCCTAGGCTGCAATTACTTAATCAAAAATACATTAAATACTGTCTTATTGTGACATATTATTACCATTTAATATAACTGTTTTCTATTTTAATATAATTTAAAATATAAATTATTCCTGTGATAGCGAAGTTACATTTTCAACAGCCATACTCCAGTCTTCTGTGTCACAGTGCTCAAGAAACATTTCACCTTATTATTAATGCTGAAATATAGGTTTCTTTTATTTCTGTGTAGACAATGACACCTTTGTTTTAGGATAGAAATAGAATAAAATAGAAAAAGGAATATACAATTCCAAAGAACAGCATTTGTTTAAAATAGAAATCCTTTTGTAACATTATAAATATAAATGTATTTACTGATCAAAGCAATGCTAGTTAAAAGTAAAAAAATAAAAAATAATACTTTTATAAAACATAAAAGTATAATAATATAATATAATATAAAAGTATTAATTAAAAATATTTTTTTTACTGACCCCAAACTTTTGAACAGTATGTGGATTAAAAAATAAATAAATAAATAAAATTGGAAATTGTATATGAAATCCAATTAGCCCAACTCTGTGAGAACTAGCATTGATTTTCAATATGTAAGTGCATTAAAACAAAAATTAGCAATTCAAAAAAAGAAACCTCAACCTTTGACTGAAACCTTAATGGAAAGTAGCTACCGTGAACTAAGCTTTTAATAGTCAGTATATCCATATCCTGTATTAAAAAAAGAAAGAAAGAAAAAAAATAATTTACGTATAACTCTTAAGGGCTATGAGAAAGTATGACATCCATGAGTGAGAGAAAATGGAAATGAACCACAGAACATTACAAATATACTAATGTCTTGGTACTAACCTTGGAATTCTTTGCGTAAACAAGAAGATAAAAAAAGTAAAAAGAAAATTTTATTAAAATACACTCAGCAGTAAATAATGTACATAAAATTAGGTAACATAAGGTGGCAGCATCATCCCTGATGCATTCTGTTATTTAAATTTTAGCTTCTATTTGAAGAGCTTGGCTTGCAGTGATCTATGATGACCACTGGATGGAAGTATTGTCAAATGTCTGGCGCACTCACAGAGGGAGAGGTGGCGGCGGACAGCAGGGGAAGGATTCCTCCACAGGCCATGATGATGTTATCCACCATCTGCGAGATCAGGTGAATAGTGTTGTGCACAAAGATTATGTTCTCGTTGCTGTTGACAAAGTCCATGATGGATTTTGTTGAATGACTGTGAGGGGCAAGACAAAAACAAAGATGAAAAGATTTACATCGCAATAACACAATAGATTTTTGTTGATTATGACTCCATCAGAGTAGACAGCGTAATGTTTTTGAGATGAACAAAAAAACAAATGGCTACTGACAGAGTTACAGTTCATTCGACATAGAAAACAAATTTCTACTATACAAAAAACACCAGAAAACATAGTATTTGAAAATGTGACTGTACTAGGACCTTGTTTTTGTTCGAGTCCAATTAAGTATGACATCTACTCCACAGTCAGAGTAAATTGTAGCCACTGACCTTCTCCAAATGTGTACGTCTGCTTCTAGGTCAAAGAGCAGATCCGTAAGTAAACGCTGGTGCATTGGGGACCACTTGAACTCTGGGATACGGAACATGGTGGTGCGGGGACCGGGACTGAACTGTCGACGCTGCTCTTCTGTCATCGGCATGCCTCTAAAACCCAGATCTACTCGCAGATCTCTATCCAGATGACTACCAGAACGACCGTGCAAACTCTGAAAGCAAAGAAATAGTTTTAATACCCAAAGCTTATGCACTTTAAACGCAATGCACCCTTAGAAAATGTATATGGCATTGGCAGATTTCGAGAGGTGTAGTAAAGAAGCAGTTGTGTAAAACGTGCAGTGGCATGGAGGTGATATTGTGTTTGTCCTTGCAAAAAAAAAAAAACTACAAAAAAACCTTCATGCTGGGAACATCTTTAAAGACTTATATTTTCTAAAAAAAAAAAAAAGCCAGCTGTAAGCTGAAGGTATGACATTTCTTGAGGCAAGTTTTTTGTTTCAAGCTGCAGAATGCATCTTCCTCTAGGGTCTTCGATATATAACACAACACCTCAAAAGCAAGTTTGGCAGGCATAAAAATGTCAAAGAATGAACCCTCTTAAATTTGAATGTTTTTAAAGAAAATTCTGTCCTTCAAACTACAGAACATACCAATATCATCATAGTTTTGTAAAATAAAAAAGTGACATAATAAAACAGCCATGGCATACATTTCAAAGAGTCAAACATATAATTAAGATATTTTAACTGAAAGGCTGAACTGTGTTTTCAGCACATTTTCACAAAGGTAAGGTCAATTTATTAATTTATTAATTACTAAACAGGATATATTAAAATATATTAATATCATTTTTTTTTATTTTGTAACAAAATAGATTTCATCTTTAGAACTTTTATCTAAAATGTCCCTAAAATCAGTTAATAAATGTATAATTTACATACAGAAATGTTACAATTAATGAATGAATGTGACAACTCCAAAGTACACTACCATTCAAGTCTGGGGTCTTTGCATGTTCTTGAAAGAAGTCTCTTATACTAACCAAGGATGTATTTAATTGATAAAGAAAAAAACAAAACAAAAAACACAGGAATACTGTAAAATATTATAACAATTTAAAATAACTGTTTTCCATTTTAATATATTTTAAAATGGGTATCGGTGCATCCCTATTATCAATGTTGAAAACAATTGTGCGGTTTAAAAATATTGTGGAAAACTGATACATATTTTCAGGATGCTTTGATAAATAGAAAGTTTAAAAGAACAGCATTTATTTTTACAGAACAAATAAATAATAATGCTGTCAATCTATAAAAAAATGTACTAATTAATCAATTAATTAATCATATTTTTTCTTAAATTAATCAAGATTAATCATGATTAATCCCACCTAACATTAAAGTTTTTAAATATAGTATTTTTATATCGCAATAATTTCACATTTAATCTTCAAATGAATGTAGAAACAACATGAAGACAGTATATTTTTAATATTTGTTTAGTGGCATCTTTTTTTAATGACTGAAGGCGTGATACCAATACTACTGATGTCTCTTGGAAATTTAAACAAATATTTAACCATTGGATATAGCCATTCATCAGTACAGTATAATTGAGAGCTATCAATTTTAACATTTATTAGACTTGTTATATAAAATAACTTCCAATTTAAGTGAACTTAAAACAATCTTCACATAAACCCATTATAATAAATGTCATATTTACCTGTGCCCTTCAGCAAGTAGGAAATATACAGAAATTGAATAAAGTTATCAAGCACTAAATTTTAAATGAAATATAGATGAATCCTTAAAGCTACAAAAGTTACTGATTTTCTATTTTTTTTTATTTTTTCTTTTGTTCTTTGATTAACAGACATCACAGCAGGATTCTTAGGTTATTTGGCTGCTATTACTTTAAGAGCTGCCTCTGCTGAACGTGACGCGACTCTGACAAGCATGCTCGTAGTTTCATTTGAGTTTTAATATGAAATGATACAGGCCACAGCGCACGCCGCTGTATTTTTGAGTGTAAATGAAGAGCAGGCACTACGAGCATAACGTATGTGCATCTGAGAGTGCATCTGAAAAGTGTCCTGTTTGATGTGGTCGTAAAGACGTTCCACTTCTAAATAAACGCAATTCCTGTCAAAAAGCAGCTGTTGTTAGTAGGGCGGCCAACCCTATCTCCGCCACTTCGTTAACTGCGTTACATATTTTTAACACCGTTAAACTGGAAAAATTAATTGCAAGAGTTAACGTGTTAATTTTGACAGCACTAATAAATAATGAATAAATAAATAAATGTACTGACCCCAGACTAGTACAGATTGCCAACATAGTTACCTGTGTTGTAGCAGTAGTCTGAATCTTCTTCACCTCTTTATCTTTGCCATCATCTGATTTCTCTGTGTCTGATGTGGTGCTGGTAACATCTGCAGTGCTCTTTACCCCAGAAACCCTTGGCTCCAGATCTACTGCCACCGTCTCTATCTGCCCTGGGCATTTAGACAGGCTTTCCCCTTCAGAGACACTAAAACCACTCATCTTAAAGCTGTCATCCTCCAAAGCTGTTGGGTTAGTGTCCAACTCTTTCGAGCTCTTCACCATGAGAGCCAAAAGCCCAAGGTCTGCACTAGAGCTGGTATGGACCTGAGGTTCCACTCCTGAGAGCGGAAGAGGTTCAGATGGTCCCATTTCAGGAAGGAGGTTTTCTCCCGAGCTGGTCGCCATCGTGCCAAAGAGGAAGGTGTTGCTGCTGGGAATGGCATCTTTTTCGTCAGCCAGTGTGATGAGAGGACCTGAGCTTTTGTCTTCTATGGTGGCTTTGGGTACCAGAACGCTGTTTACACTGCTGTTTAGCTTCTCCACTGCAGCTGAGTAGACGTTATCCAGAAGAGAGTCCACTTCCACCAAGCCTCCATTTTCAGTGACAGGCAGGAGGTCCATGTCGTCCATCTTGACCTCTGTGGCCTCAACCTTCTCAGCTTTGATATCGACAAGCAGGTCATGAACTTCCACATGGACACCTGATGCTGGGTTCTCCTCATCCAAACATTTAGTTTCAGACAAGAGGTTCCGCCCCGATTCAGTCGTCTCTGGTTCATCCGCTTCACTCTCAGGAGTCTGAGTTTGGGAATCCGGGTCCAGCTCCAGAGTGCCTTTAATGGCCGAAGCCTGGGCAGAAAGCCCCGAAATGGTGCTGACAAGACCCTTCTTCCCTTTCTTAATGTTCTCCTCTTCCTGTCGCTGGTATTCCTCATACATTTGAGCTAAATATTCCTTGTGAGCTTCATATGTCACCTGCCAAACAAAGAGTTGTGACAAGTTTAGACTTCTTAAATGCAAACTTCCTGAAAAGTTTAAAGTGAAAAAAAAAAAGAAAAAGTTACACAGGTCTGGTTATGATGACACAAAACAAATGAGATACTAAAAAAATACATATTTATTTGAAAAATCCATCCGTTTGAGTCTATCTATCTATCTATCTATCCATGTCTATGCATCTATCCATCCCATCTACATATATCTATAAATCCATCCATCCATCCATCATCCATCCGTTTGAGTTCTATCTATCTATCTATCTATCTATCTGTCTGTCTGTCTGTCTGTCTATCTATCTATCTATCTATCCAATCAATCCATCTATAAATCTGCCTTGACTAATGTTGCTTTTTTAAATGTAAAGATATATGAATTTAAATATCATTTTCCATTCATTTAATTTCTACTTCCTTACATTAACATTTGAATTGTATTCCAAATGAAATTCTCACATTTTTGGAGCCCACTGTATTGTTCATCTGGATTATATCACCCATCCCTGCTTTCTAGATATCCACATCAGTACTGGCCAATGGAAAAGCTCACAAGTTCTACCACTATACTGTTGTTCAGCTGATGAAAACTGTTTATTTACTTTGGAGTGGGCTATGGAGAGTGTGTCCACCCACACACGCCAGCCGCCCCACTCATGCTTGATGGCGTGGTAGAGAAGAATCCGGAAGATGTTGTAAACCATCTCAGTGATCTTCTGCTCCTCTGAGTTCTTAGGGTTAATGTAGCCGAGAGAGAACATCCAATCCTGCCAAACGGAACACTGCAGCAGACACCTGTCACACAGAAAATGAGATGGATTAAGCTTGCGGCAGTCACTCGTGTTAAATCCTCCCTCTCCTCCACAAACATCTTTTTTAACACCCTCAAACGACACTCAAAGTTGGAACCTAATTCACAAACCGACAAGTAACACAAAGCAATTTCAGCCCCAACCTCCATTAAACTTCAGATCTGCGAGGTACCGCTAAGAATGACTGGCAGCTACTTGAATAACACCTGAAGCACTTTGTGTTATTCACTGTCATTTTTTTCTCAGTGCATTGTGGCATAATAAATGGACCTTTGACTGAGGCAGAATTAATTAAACTTGTTCCTTTTGCTGAAACACTCCAGGTTGTAAGATTGGAGTAAGGATGATTTAATTTCGAACCCATCCCAACCGGCTAGCAAGCGGTAAAGCTACAGCGTGTAAACCATCGTTACAGGATTAGTTCACCCTGAAATGAAAATCGTCATATTTTACTAACCCAACTTTCCTTATTCAGTGGAACACCAAAAGGAACATTTTTGAAGAATTGAATTGGTCGCTTTACAACGAAAATTAATGGGGACTTCAAGGCTTCCAAGGGACTTTACAAAAAGGACTCCAATAAAAGTGGTCCAAACTAATTCTGCATTATATTCAAAGTCTTTCAAAGTCGCACAATCAATCTGTGTGAGGAATAAACCAAAACTGAATTTGTTATCTACAGTAAAGCTTGACATCTGCACTAGTTCTCCTTGATCAGTTCATGAGCAAAGTACCAACTCTTCTTAAATCAAATATGACTGAACTAGTTCACATAAACTGATCTGGGCTGCACTTCCTAAAAGCATCATAAGCAGATCATAGTAACTGTTGGCACCAGTGGTTTCTACAGTCTATTTCGGTTTAAAATGCTTTAGACTTGTTCAAGAATTGGACTAATTCTGATTCTTGACTCACTGACTCAATGATCTTTCACAGAATTAACTAACTGAAAGGGAAGATTGGAAAAGTGGAAAACAACTTGGAGAATTTCCGCACACAGATCTATTGTATGGCTTCAGAAGAGTTGTGTGAAACACTTTTATGGTGCTTCTGCATCCTTTTTGAAGCTTGAAAACCTTGTTCATTATTCACTGTAATTACATGGAGAACAGTGTGCAGCGCAGTCTTCATAATAATTTCTTTTGCATTTCACAGAAGAAAAAAACCGCTCGGAACGACACAAGGATGAGTAAATAATGACACAATTTTTATTTCAGATGAAATATTCCATTAATAGAGAAGATAAATGTCTGCTCTAGTTACCATCTACTGTTTACAGATGTTTCAGAAAAGCACTTTGGAAACATAATGACTTCATCTAGTCTAAAAAGCTTCTTACTTTCAGTTCTGAGTGGCTCACTGTAGAACTTAATGATGGAGATGATGAAACGTAATAATAACAGCCAATTGAGATTTCAGCACACACTGTGCGGCTGATTTATCTGCCAGACTTGTGACGGCACAGAGGAGCACGTTGCATACGGCTTTGGAGAGAAGAAAAGGAAAACCAACAGCCATAGGACAGCAGCGAAATTGGTGTGGACTCGAATGTCACATGTGAAACATCTGCTGCAAGAGAAACACTGGAATATTAAACGTCACAGGGGTGCCCATTAAACACAACAACAAGGGAGAACGTCACTCTTTTTTCCACTCTCTTTTCTGGTCCGTTCACAAGGCGGTTAATTGCTGTCATGGGGGAAAGGGTGAGAAAGGAAGAGACCCTCACCGTCTGTTCTCACGGCTGTTACTGAAGAGTTTGATCATGTCAGACAGGAAGAGACGCCGCACCTCCATCAGGTCCGCACTGGGTGTGGAGGTCTTCAACAGTGTGGCCACCACCTTAAGAATCACTGAGAACAACGAATGGAAGAACAAGCATTAATCACTCAGAGTTCTGTCTGATTGGCACAGATGTGGACCAATGAGCATGCGGTCTCACTAACTGACACAAATGAAACGGGCATCCCTGGCTGAAGTCTATATGCAGAAGAAAACGTTTAATCATTCGCTAGTAAACTTTTAACTTCCACAGATGACAGTAAGTGTATTAGCACCAGGCCACAAAAAGAATAAATGAGCTGACAGAAAGAATTACTTGGGTTCTGGATCTTCACAGTAGAGTCGGGCTCAGCATGTGGCTTGTGGACGACCTGCGTGCAAACCTGCTCTGTCAAAATCTAGACAGGAAACGGATCAGATGAGACTCATGAATGAAGCGAAACAGGTATATATGGCATAAATCATCATGCACGCTTGTCAAAGGAGGGGGCTTTGTTGAAAACGACGCGTTTGAGAGAGGCGGGGCATAGAGGACCTACAATAATGTACAGTATTTGAAAAATAATGTGTTTTTTGAACATTAAAGCATGTCAACATATTCTGTTACACCAAATACACCAAATAATGATCTTTAAAATAGCATCATACGACCCCTTTAAGTAATTTGAAACATTGCAGGAATAGATTAAGCATCAGTTATTAAGATGGCTTAAAATCTGCAAACTCTACTCAAATATTTTGTGTAATGCAAATGTAACGGAACTGAGTAAACAGTCAAAAGTTAGACGTAAAAACTAACTAAACTGACTCTTAGCGGTTAACTACTAGCTAGAAACAGCATGCTGTGGTGCTATTTTTTAATATGCTACAAAAATGAAAGAAACAACCAAATTAAGATATTTAATGTTACAAAACATTTCTGTTTTTTTTTTTCTAACTTTCTATTCATCAAAGAATCATTAGAAAATGCATCACGGTTCCCACAAAAATATTAAGCAGCACAAATGTTTCATGTGACACTGAAGACTGGAGTAATGCCTGCTGAAAATTCAGCTTTGCCATCACACGACTAAATTAGATCTCACAATATATTAAAATAGAAACCAGTTATTTTAAATTACAATAATATTTGACAATATTACTCTTTACTGTATTAAATAAATGCAGCCTTGGCGAACCTATTTAATTTTTTACCATTAGTGTATATAATATAATAACATTAAATAACATTAAGGACACAAAATGTAATATCTTTGTACAGTATGTACATTTATTATACATATTTATATATTTTTTAATTTATATATTATATTTTAGTTTTGTATATTTTTATATTAACCTGAATATTTCTGCAAGACTGTAATGCTGTATTGAGATCTTGAATAGAAAAAAACACCTAATATTACCTCATATAGTGTGTTGTACGTAGTTATCGACAGTGTGTTGGAGTGCAGCATGAGTCGTTCCCCAAGAAGAGTGAAGAGACTGTTTGTGTGCATTATTTCCACCTTCCTCCTGTGACAAACCACAAACACACAGAAAACATACTGTAGTTTATAACAGAACGTTCAAATGTATCTAGTATGATAAAACAGTGCTGCTTTTTTCCCCCCCACATACGCACGACCGGAAGGAGCGGAAGCGGTCGACTGCAGCATAATAAAAGCTCCGCTGCTTTCGAGCAGTGTGTCGCGCTCAGGGCTTGTAAAGCTCTAAAAACAGCTCAGATAGCTCAGAAGTGTTCATTTAAGGGAAACGGCCTCACGCATGCACTTACACTCACACTAATGCACACACACATATATGCTGTATATTCAGATATACATACAGGGTACATCTGACAATATATAGTGTGCAACGGAAGAAGCGTATTAAAGGCTAACCACTCAACGATGGATACGCTAATGATGACAAAAAGCAAATGTGGATTTTATGTGCACTCTAGTCTAACGGCAGTACAAGTCTGCAAATGTCAGTGGGCTTGTAAAGCTCTAAAAACAGCTCAGATAGCTCAGAAGTGTTCATTTAAGGGAAACGGCCTAACGCATGCACTTACACTCACACTAATGCACACACATATATATGCTGTATATTCAGATATACATACAGGGTACTTCTGACAATATATAGTGTGCAACGGAAGAAGCGTATTAAAGGCGCTCATCCATGAACATGATTTCTGCCCGAGTCCCGTCGGATTGCATCGGCTGTGGGGATGAAGACGACAACTCCCATGATTCTGCACTCAGTCACGGCGTCATCAAACTACGCCTTTGTTTCTTTGTTTATTTTGAATACGCACCCTCTAGCGGCGAAAAATTACATATTGTGCCTTTAAGCAAAAAAAGATTTTGAAATACTACTGTACATGTACTTGCATCAGTGGGCAGGAATGCTTTACATTATTTACATGTGAGCATGACACGGAAACATTATGTAATGCAAAATACAGAGCATAAAGCGAAGACGAGGTGTTTATGGTTGCCGAGCAATGTCAGATCTTAGAACATTAATAAAAATGACATGAGGTTATTAGTGTTTATCAGCTATTTGGCTCATTCAGTCAGAAAAAATTACAGTAAATAACAGTTTAGAGTTTTTTGAGTCTCATGCTTTACATAATGTGAAGCTATTTTAGCACTGATGCTAGACTAATTAATTTTTTATGAATAATGCTATCTTTTGGTTTCATCCATCAAGTTTCAGATAATAAAAAGATTAAAATGAAAGACTCAGCGTGCTTTGCTTATCAGCTCGCGCACATCAGCTATACAGTCGTTAATACTCACTGTTTAACATTATACTCATTGCATACATATACTTCGTAGACATCTTTAATCTCTAATAACTCCATTCTGCTGTCTGTTGTTCTGTTGTAGGTGTTTCATTGTCTGAATATGGCACTTATCACATGTGGTATCGGGGCATTTTAACGAGTACGAGTACGAGTATGAGTACGAGTACAGGAGCTCAGTATCGGGCCCGATACCGTGGTGCATCCCTAAAACGTATAATTCAAAATATGCATTACACATCGTGATTATTATATATACATTTTTTATTTTTATATTAAATTATACTTTTATTTTTCAATTCCAAAAAAAAAATATATATAGTACATTTTTTTTAATTATTACAAATAATAATTTAAAATACAGTAGCGGTCAAAAGCTTATTTTTCTCAGAAGCAACTTCTTTAGCTTTGCCATCACGGGAATAAATTACATTTGACAATATATTAAAATATAAATCACTTATTTTAAATTGTAGTAATATCTCAAAATATTACTCTTTACTGTATCTTTGATTAAATAAATGCAGCCATAAATATGTATGTATGACATACATAAATAAATATGTATGTCATACATACATAAATAGGCTACATACATTTTTTATTTATGTATTATACATTTTAGTTTTGTATATTATTTTATATTAACCTGAATATTCTGAAATGCTGTATTGAGATCCAGAACAGAAATAACAACTTTATATTACTAATAATAATTATAATAAAAAAAAAAAAATAATAATAATACACTAGCGGTCAAACTTTGGAATAATTAAGAATAAAGAAGCAGGAAAAACTGTTTTCAACATTGATAACAATAAGAGATGTTTAAGAGATCTTTAGCAGCAAATCAGAATATTAGAATGATTTCTGAAGGATCATGTGACACTGAAGACTGGAGTAATGGCTGCAGAAAATACAGCTTTGCCATCACAGAAATAAATTACATTTTAAAATATATTCAAACAGTTATTTTAAATTGTAATAGTATTTTATAATATTGCTGATTTATTGTATTTTTAATCAAAAATGCAGCCTTAATGAACATATGAGACTTCATAATTTTTTTGACCACTAGTGTAATTATTTATTAATAATTATTGATAATAATGAATTACTTAAAATTACATACACGTACAGTAAAAAAATGCAATATAAAGACACACTCACAAACAGCAACATACACAATCACACACTAGTTAAAATATAAGGCTTCTAGGTAGAGTATCTCACTATACTGTAAGTACCAAAAGCCCTGGAGCCATATAGAGAACACTTCAAATAGTGAGAAGAACTTTAAAATGTCATAAACACATTACTGACGAGGACTCTGTCCTTATGCAACCACAAATTTCACCTTGTCGGATACACTTGAGAAAAAGATAATGACTCTTGGAAGACTTCATTGTAAATATGTCTCTGGAAAAGAGAAGAATGGATGTACTCACTTGTGGCCTAAGTGTTTGAGGAAATATGCCAGAACTTTCAGAGCCTGAACTCGGATGCTTTCACTCTTAGAAGCCAGTAGTTTGTACACCACCCTGAAAAGAAATGAAATTAAATTATAACTAAAATAAGAAATATTCTGAATTAATTCACTAAATTTTGTCAAAAACCAAGAAACAGTGGGAAAGTGCCAAACACTTTCTTTTTCAATGTGGCTGCTGCTCAAAAAATTAGAAACTGGCAGATAATAATATAATACTCAAGAGGAAACGGCATTGTGTAAAGCACCATGAAGCTGTTCATCAAAGTCATATCAGTTATTTTGAGCCAAACCCAAAACTTCAAAAAGCAAATAACTCTATCAAATCCATCTATATTTCATTAGCTTGACACACAGGGTGTGAGCTTTATCCTGCTTGTCAGAAAAAATAAATAAATATGAAAATATCATTGCAATTCCTATGCCGAGTCTTGTGAATAATTCATGATTGTATCATGTAGGCAAACTCCATCATCGCAGACAAGATGAAATATAATGAAATTTGACTGTGTGTGTGTGTGTGTGTGTGTGTGTGGAGTAAGAGGCTGGTGTGAACTCAGATCTCACCGGATGCCGTTCCTCTGGTCAAATGCGGGAATCATGGAGGCTGGGTGCTCAGACATGAGGGCCACCAGCAGCTGAAGAACATCATGGAGGTTCTCATCCTGAATAGAGTAAAACGCAAGCATTTAATGCAACCCTGTGCTAAATTTTATTCAACTCCAAAACCAAAGTTAAAAGTTTGTACAGGCGTAACTATTCTTTAATGGGACTATTTTCTACATTTTAGAATAACAGTAAAGTATGAAAATTACTAAATAATGGGCATATGGAAAAAACGTACTGACTGGAAAATGTTAACCTATATTTGAGCTTCATTAAAGTCACCACCCTTTGTCTAGATTTGAGTTTTGCTTACTCTTTTCATGGGTTGCATTCTGGGATGCTCAAACAGTACTGAATGAGTCTATAAGTTTTTAAAAAGCTTTTGAAAGACTCTTGCGCTCACCAAGGCTGCATTTATTTTTTTTTTAAAATACAGTAAAAACAGCAATGTTGTGAAATATTATTACAATTTTAAATGAGCATTTTCTGTTTTAATATGTTTTTTTTTTTTAATCATGTGATGGCAAAGCTTAATTTTCAGCAGCCATTATTCCAGTCTTCAGTGTCACATGATCTTTCAGAAATCATTCCAATATGCTGATTTGCTGCTCAATAAATATTTCTTATTACTTTCAATGTTGAAAAGAGTGGTGCTGCTTAATATTTTTGGAAACCGTGATTTTTTTTTAGGATTCTTTGATGAATAGAAAGAACATCATTTTTACAGTATGTGTCTGGTTGTTGGGTGATTTTTCTTTACTACCCGGCCCAAATTAAACATTCAAGAAAATATCTAAAATAATGTTTTATTTTAGTTCTGAAATAAGTAAATAAATAAATATATAAATAAAGTTTATTGATTTTAAAATAATTACACATTCACAGGCACAATTTTAATTGTCTAAGGAACTAATTTCATGAGTTGAGGGGAAAAAATGATTAGAATTAAAATTTTGACTGGAACTGTACTTGAAACTTTCAATAATTCAATTCCACTTAAAGGGATAGTTCACCCAAAAATGAAAATTTGCTGTTTATCGGCTTACCCCCAGGGCATCCAAAATGTAGGTGACTTTGTTTATTCAGTAGAACACAAACAAAGATTTTTAACTCAAACCGTTGCAGTCTGTCAGTCATACAATGGAAGTGAATGGGAACCACAGCTTTGAGAGTAAAAAAAAACATACACAAACAAAACCAAATTAAACCCTGTGGCTCGTGACGATACATTGATGTGTAAAGACACGAAAAGATCGGTCTGTGCAAGAAACTGAACAGTATCTATATAATTTTTTATCTCTGATTTACTGCAATGTCCGAACTGTCCTGAGCGCGTCCTGATCGCGTTCGTGTCTTCTTCTTCAGCCGGGCGTGACGCATCTTCTGCTTCTTCTTGCTATACGGCAGATAGCAGACTTATACGTGCATTACCGCCACCTATCTCTCAAATGGACCATTGACACTCCTAATTGAGATTGTAGATAGAGTGTCAATGGTCCATTTAAGAGATAGGTGGCGGTACTGCACTTATAAGTCTGCGATCTGCCGATCGTTGCGTGTCTTTACACATCAATGTATCGTCACGAGCCGCAGGGTTTAATTTGGTTTTGTTTGTGTATGTTTTTTTTACTCTCAAAGCCGTGATTCCCATTCACTTCCATTATAAGACTGATAGACTGCAACGGTTTGAGTTAAAAATCGTCTCATTCCCTCGGGGAACCATGGTTACATGTGTAACCTAGAGACATTCCCCTTCAGGAACTCGAGCTGCATCGAAACGTTATGGGAACGTGTATGCCCACGCCGCCAGACTTACAAATCCCTGCCTAGTGTGGAAGAGCACAGCTAAGGCGAGAGAAAGGGAGCCAGGAGTGGCGCAGAATGCAGGTAAGAACCTGACAAAGTAAGCGGGGTGGACATCCCGCAGCGTCCTGAAGGCCAACTTCTGGAGGAGTGAGCCTTGACCCCCAAGGGAGAGGGGAGATCAGCGGACTCAAAGCTATG